CTCTGTAGAGAATCGACGGTGCAAATATGAAAACAATTGATTGATTGTTGTTCCTAATTATCAGAAAAGTGATTTGATTGTTTCGTCTATTCAATATAAGCTGTTGGATTATAGATAGCCATATCCATAGGTACAAGTGGATCTGACCTGATTAGACTAGATTACGTTATCGAATATTTCAAAGAGTATATCCTTATGTCAGGCCTCTCTTTATTTAACTTCTACTCATGTTTGAGTTAGATAGTGTAACCTTTCCTATTTCACAGCATCTCTGCTGCTATTTCCATCACAACAGTTAGTCAAATATGACTCCAAATAGTCAGGATAAAGGTTTTGTTGAGTTGTCAAATATGTAGGAGGCAACAAAAATTTTTAGTTCCTTTTTTCCATTTTTATAGAATTCATCAACATTGAAATCTCCACCATGTTCATTTTTTTTTGTCATGGGAAGCCTGTCACTCCTAACCTGTGTCATTCCATCTCCTTTTTTCTTTTCTTTGCATGGTGATGAAAAGAAATGATTAAAAGGTCACATTGGTGGGCCCCTTTACCATATTCAGTTATATGCTAAAACTCTTTCATTCTTCTATGGTAGAAAAAAACGTGGTGAGAAAAGGTTTCAAGAATGAAGAGAATGAAAGGATAACAGATTCATAAAAGGAAATAGGGCAAATTACATTTTAGCTTCTTGTTGTTTGCCTTGTAGCACATTGGCCCCTTATGGTTCAAGTATAGTCATATAACCCTCATGTAAAGTTGCCACTAACTATAACATACAGAGATATTGAATTCGAGGGTTAGGATTTGAAACATTTGAGTCATGTTCAAATTTCAATGGAAAAGGACAAATATGCCCTTGTAATCTTCACGGAAAGTTAAAAAATTCCCTCTCTTCTTCATCTGGTTGTTCGGTTTATAAAAATTATATCAGAACCCTCACCTTGAAAACTCTCTGTTGAGTAGTATAGATATCATTATATTATTTGTGTCCTTTTAATAGGTGAACCACTGAACAGTATATCAGAACCTTCACCTAGATAGAACTCTCTGTTGAGTAGTACAGATTTCATTATATTATTTGTGTCCTTGTAATAAGTGAACCACTCAACGGTATACTGGTCTTTTTCTTTTATTGTGATACATATATATTAGTTGAGGGTGAGAGGTACGGTTAACAACTTTCTTCCTCCTCTCGGTTGACCCTTCTTCTATGATCTCCCTCTCTAACAATAAACCGTCAACTTAACACCCTCCACCCCCCTCATTCCCTTGCTCTACACACCCCGCAATCCCTCCTCTGGTTGTCAGAGGGGTAGCAAAATAGGAAGACTCAAAGGCTTGGAAAGAGAAGACCTTGGGCTTCGTTTTCTCTCTCTCCATTGATATATATCTACTGCTTAGGGGAAGAAGTGATGACCAGAAAGTGTTATTACATCAAAACCATGTGATTATGGTGTGAAAATATTAATAAAAACAAAGCAGCTGGATTTCTTTTTCTAATTGTTTTGACCCAGCAGTATTTTATCCTGCTATTTCTTGGCCCAATTCATCAATAGGGATCAGTTTGGAAAATATATTCATAGATTCGGATTTTCTTGGTTAATCTTGGGTATTTGAAAGTTAAAAATAACTTGCCCGAAGTCGGTGTTTTTTTTTGGGGGAATTGGATGGGGAAACTAGGTTCAGACCAATAAAAAGTTTTTCTGGTGTCCTTCCAACTTGATTCTGTCATGATGCCAGTGAGAAGTGCTACCAATAGGTGCAAATCATCACTGTCTATTAAGATTTAAGACCCTGTACAAATTGTGTTTAACAAACCATAGCTTTTGGTGAATTAAGAAACCACAGGTTTTTTTAAGCTTGGTTGAACCAGTGACTTTCCGGAATGATTCCAACACATCTCTGACCAAAAATTAAACTAAAAGGTTCTGAATTGTACAGGAAATAAAAGCATTATGCAAATTGTGGTTGATAAAACCCATAACAGGCTGCAATAGAGCCTTGGGTTTCTACGAATTGGAGGAGATACGGCTTGGGTAGTGGGGTGGGTGATGCTGGAGTTGGGCAGTGGGTGGTGATGGTAGTAGCTGAACAATGGGTGGTGAAAGATGAAGCATTTGTTAGAGATAGACAGTGAGGTAATGATGTCACTTCGAAGAGTCATTGGCGGTGCTTATTTTTTCGTGTTGGTCCAAAACCATGTGAAAGTTACATGGTTATACTTAAACCATAGGTGATGAAGTTCCACATACTCAAACCAGACGGATATAAAGTGGAATTTGCACAAGAAAAAGGAATGGAAGGCTGCTGAAACCAAAAGAACTTTTTTTTGTTTTTTTTTTTTTTTTTTGTGTCATGTATGGGGAGGTTTGGGATTCATCTATTTGTTTGTGCTAGTGAAAGTTATTATTGGCTCACCAGTGAACCTGCAATTTTATGTGTTTTGGAAAATGGATTTTTGCCAAACTTGATCTACGCAATGGTTTACTGCATCCTTCAGTTACGTATCAGCCATTGAGGTTGCTCGAGTGGTATTATGTTTATTTTAGTGTTATTGCTGCTATCTTATTATGTTTATGCTAGTTCTTGATGTACAAAGAGTGAAGGTTAACTTGAGTTGCTGTCAATGATCAAAATTTAGTTTCTAAATGGCCGAAACATTTTCATTTTTAAGAAGACCGAAACGAATCAGTGATTGAATCGAAATTTTAGTGCTTCGAGTTGTTTAGGAATATTTTGAGGCTTTCCGAGATATTTTGGCATGTTTCCGCCAATGTGTGACAATGTTTTGAGATATTTCAAGATGTTTCTAAATATTTTGACTAATGTTTCGCAATTTTTTGGGAATAAATTCTCAATTTTTTTTCAGTTTCTACTTTGTTTTCAAAACGTTTCCGGATTCTAATTGAAAAAAGAAGGTTGAAGCTTCATTCTTACAACCATCTTTTTGAAGCAGATAGTTAACTTAGCAACCCGTTCATCATGGATGTTAATGAATGTATTGAAGCCCTTGCTTTGGTGGAACCAAAATGGGACGGGAACTCGTTCACTTGGTCTAACAAGGAGTTTGGTTGAAATATTTAGAAATATGGCATGTTATATTTGTTTATATATGTAGTTAGTTGACTAAGCCCCTATGGAAAGCCGTCGTTCACTTCTGGAATAGAGGTTGTTGACGTAGTTGTTTGTAGTTTTTAAATTCATTTAGTATCCAATAACCTTGGGACAAGATCGAAAAGAATGCATTGCATTCCAAGTGAGATACCTCAAAAAAAAGGAACGAGAGGAAGAATCGTCAAGGAATCTATAATATAAAATTGTGATGAAAAAGGGTGACGAGAATTCTCGAGTTCAGCTCGAGATGTTAGAAGGTGCAAAATCAATGGGTGCCGGAGTTGCTACAATTGCTTCCCGTATTGCAAACATTCTTAGTTCCTCGATTTATTCCGTGGAGCGACATCCATTAGTGGCCAAACAATCATTTGGTACTGTCATTTTGGGCTTTGCTCTAACTGAAGCTATTGCATCACTTGCCCAACGATGACGTTTCTGATGAGCTGTATTTCTTTAAGAAGATGATAGTTCAATTTCAATGATCACATTAAGCTGCATCTTTTCAAAAAATGCTGAACCGCTGAATTTTGTGGCACATTTGTTTTGACATATTTAGGATCAAGATGAGGGGTTCTATCGGAATATGTTTTAGGTTATTTGAGTGCTTTCATTTTTGCAGTCCACTAGGATACAAATAGAATTTAGTTGTGAATGTTATCCAACTTAGACTTGATTAGCATTTTATAGTATTTAGTTTGTTGAATGTTTCTGCTCATACTTCAGGTATTTTTTTTTTGTTGGGTACTGACATAGGGGTAAGACACCCATTTTCTGAGGCATGCTGGAGTGATTGTTACCAATATGGTATTGGAGGTTACTTTTTCATTTATCTATTTGTAATTTGTGGAGATAAGTTTTGAACAATAATACCATCTATCCCTTTAGATTCCATCTCAGAATTTAAGACACTGCAATGATGGTTTTAGCATAGTATGGTAGAATCTTGCAACTAATCTCTCTCTCTCTCTCTCACACACACACACTGTATTTGTCATCGTCATGCTTAACTGTCTTCTCATCCCCACATATTTTGTATTTATTTGACCACCTATCTAAATTGTTGTCATTTGCGCTTTTCTCTTCTAATAACACCTTTATTGGCAATGTGTATCATATTTCTCTTTGCATGAGATTTGGATTGTTGTCCTTTCAGATTGTATCCTTATCCTTTAAGATTTTTTTAATATGTCTTGCTTGAAGCTGTTTGAAACCATGGGTGCTGATCTATATCAGAAGCTTTTATTCTCTAGTACTTTTAGACAAGGAAAAAATATCATTAGTGAACTATGTAGCTAATCTGTAACACTAAGCTTATTTCTTATTTCTTGATTCATGGAAGGGTAGAAACATAAAAGTATTTTGTCAAATTAAAGAGGAAATGGTTAATCACACAGTTTTTACATGCATTTTGCTTTGGTTTGTATTTGAGTAATTTTACATCTTATTTCTCATAGAAAATTTTCATTGCCGTAGTAGCAAAGGGTGTTGCATAAGGAATATCTTATGGAGAGTTTTACTCATGGTTGTACAGCGCTTTGGCTGCAGCTAGTCTTCTTTGGCTAATGACGGACCCTTGTGATTTTATTTTTTGAAGCGAAGATTTGTTTTCTTGGGTATTATGCCACAGAGTTCATGAATATTCATTTTCTTGGGTGCTATGCCACCTCAACCTGGTCAGCCTTTACTTTTGCCTTTGTCACGGAAGAAAGAACGATTGTTTAGTCTCAACAACTAGAACGTAATCCCTCAGAGAATATAAGGAATTTAGATGTTCCATTTGACACGGTGGGGAAGCCAACCTAGGGAATTTTTATGGGTGTTTATTAGCATTTCTGTATGAAGTGAAAATAGATTATTCTTTTGGCAATTTCTAGGATTTGGATGACATGGAAGGAACGAGCAATGTTTTGGAAACTGAAGAGATAGTCCTGTTGGTCAAAACGCTGCAATCTTTGAATGGTCTGCGAGAAGTAATAGTAAAAAATCTTGAAAGTGGTCTTCGAAATGATGCTCCTGATGCTGCAATAGCAATGCGCCAAAAGGTAAGATCATATTTTGTCTAAATTGCCCATGATTCGCTAAAAATTGAAATAAATATTCAAGATAGAATTTGATATTCGTACTTTGCATTGCTTGTTCTGTTCAGTGGCGTCTGTGTGAGATTGGCCTTGAGGACTATGCATTCGTTCTTTTGAGCAGGTATGCTAAATTATTCGAGCTTACTTGAGATATGGTCTCCTATTGTGCAGAGCCTATGCCGGTAATAAGTCCATTTTTAGTTATTTCTGATTTAGTGTTGCATATTACGTAATACTATTTTCTGTCACCTAAGAAGCACGGATATGGATTCGAGATACGAGTACAATACGGAAATAGAGATATGACAAATTCCAAAAAAATAGGATATGTATACGGCCAAAATACACCTATAAAAAATATATTTTTTATTTATACTATTATGTAACTATTTGATAGTTATAATTTTTAGTGATTCTTTAACAATAATAAACAACATTAACAATTTTTTTATTTTTAAAAAGGTACCTATTGTCTGACTGTGGTACACCAACTAAGTGAACAAGATTAATTAAAGTAACAAGAACTAACATTTAACTAGATTGTTTGTTGAACGTGATTAATTAAAGGAATAAAAATCACACTTTAACTAAAATGTTTGTTTAGAAGAAGGGGATAAAGATTATAGTGTAAATGAGTTGATTATAGTGTAATCAACTCATTTACCCTTCGGAAATGAGATAGTGGATAATACTTGAAAACACTAATTTATCTTCGAAGTCATTTGAATTTTTGTTGATGCTTGATGTAAGTATGTGAGATTGAAAGAAGGGGATAAAGATTAAAACTAAAATTATACATGCTTCTCCTCATATAGAAGTATCCTCAAAGTATTTATATATTTTATTTATTAATAATTACATTGGTGTGTATTTTATACATATCTTCGAATATCGTATCCGATATGGATACGTCGATTGTTGACCTTAACGAAGTATCCGTGCTTCTTGTGCAGCCATTGCAATTAAATGCAATTCTTATTGAAGAGTCCATTCACGTGCAGAGTCATGCTTTTCTCTTTTTATTTTGATACTCAAGAACTATGCTTATCCTTGTCTAAGTTTTGGAATCACACTTATTAATCATTTAGGAACACTTGAGTGTTTTTTTTTTCTTTCTTGTATCTTGTTTATTTATTATTGAGACATTTTTTAAACTTCTAGAAAAAACCAGATGCCATCTGGGATTTTATTCCGGAACCCGAGCAAGTCGTGCTTGCTACACACAACTGGAATTTGAAGTCATGGTTTATTAAAGTCGTATTTAGCAACCACGACCAACTACTACCTATCTTGAAGATCCATATCTATATCCTTAATGATGATACTTATCCTTAAAGTAAAAGTCGTGGAGCAATCACTACTTATTATGGTCTGGGAAATAAGATTAAGGGGCCCTTGTCTTTTAAATGTGTTTTTGAAAAATGCATTATGTCGATATAACATGTTAGCTGACTCATTATTAACTGGTGTGCATGCCAAGATTTAGAGGATTCACTGTTCCATATCTGTCACCAGAGTATTGTTTATAATTTCATAGTTTTGGTGCTCAGGTGCTTGTAGAAAGTCACTTTTCAATATGCTTTGCATCAACTTCTATAAGAGGAAATTAGCACTAAATTATGGTTCAAAAAAGGAAATGAGCGCTCACTTGGCATCCTTACGTTGGAGAAATAATGCTAAAATACTAAAAGTTATTTGTACATAGCCCATTAATGGATGCATGTGATTAGTATGTTAACTTTTGATGAAAGAGTAACAAACTTTTTTTTTGCAATATTGACCATTTTTAATAAGATTTCATTCTATAAAGTAATGATGCAGCATCATTCTGGTGAAACTTTGCAATTTTCTACGGCTGCTATTTTTGCAAAATGGTTAAGGCTAAGTCCATGATTGTCTTCTAGAACAAGGGCCCGAGAAACTTTAGCGAGAATTACGACTGAAGCAACTTTTACGAAGTATGTCAAAAATACTAGTATTTTCTTCTTTGGGTCAAAACAAAGAAAATCCCATTTGCTATTCTCCTATATGAACACATGTTGATCAAAATTTCACCTTCCAATATTTCTTTTTCTCCCTTTGTTCAGCTTTCACCTGATTGAATGACCCTTGAGCACCAAGAAGGTAAGCAATGTATTCACAACTCACCAATTGGAAAGATTCTGCTAAATTCCCATAAATTTACAGAAATTTGAGCAAACATGGTAACCGGTCATATGCTTTAAAACTTCCCAAAATAATAGTTGAAACACTAAGAATGATAAGAGGGTTAGAGTTAGGAGGGAAAGAGAAAGTAAAGAGAAAGATTGAGGAAAATAATGTGTGTAAGCTCAAGTTGCTCTATACTTTCTTATTTATAACATACGAGTAATTACAATATTACCCAACCCAATACAACTAACAATAAATAAGAACTCTAACAATAGTATATTTGTCCTAATACTTATTTGTGTAAGGAGATTCAGAGATCTCACAAGAATTTTGTAGAGTCCTACAAGTTGAGCCTTCACTACCTTCATCTCTAAGGCTTGCAAGCCAACAACAATTGAACAAAATAAAAATAGAAAAACATCCCCAAAATAAACATAGTATTGACGAGAAACAATGTCATAGCAGTGGTAACATTTCTGAGTATGAGAATATCTCAAAAAAAAAAACACACTTAGTTGAGTGAGGAGAAAATTTATCCCGACGTGGACCAAAATGGTGAACAAATGCAACACAATCAAAGACACGAGGAGTGAGACCAAATGATGGTTTACCAGGATAAAACAACGAGAAAAAAGACTTGTTGTCCAAAATGGGGAAGATAAGCTGTAGTAAGAATAATGTCAACCCAATATGGTTTTGGTATATACATATTAAACATTGAGGTGCGAGCAACATCCAATAAATGGCGATTCTTATGTTCCACAATGCCATTTTTTTGTGAGGTATGAGGACAAGTGGTTTGATGGATAATGCCTTGGTCAGCACAAAATATTTTCATAAACAATTGAGTATACTCAAGGGCATTGTCAGACCGAAGAACTTTAATACGAACATCAAATTGAATGATGATTTCATTATAAAATGCAATAAAGACCTTGGGTAATTTAGACCGGTCTTTCATAAGAAATAACCAATCATACGAGAGAAATCATTAATAAATATAACAAAATACTGAAACCTAGAAATACTTTTGACTATTGCGGGGCTCCAAATGTCAGTATAAACAGCATGAAATGAATTGGATTGACGAGTTGAAGAATTAGGAGGAAAAGAACTATAGTGATGTTTTTCTAATTGGCACGCTTCATATCCCAACATAGAAGAAAGACTTAAATCAGGAAAAACTTGCCTTAACTTTTGCAAATGAGGGATGACCCAAGTGGAAGTGTTGCTCAAGAAGAGATACGGTAGCACTCAATGTCGAAACATAATTGCCAAAATTTAAATGGTATAGGCCATTATGCTCATGCCCCACATCAATCACTTTCTTTGTTTTGAGGTCTTGAAAAACATAAGAGGAGGGAGAAGGTTACGGAACAATGTAACAACTTAGTTAACTGACTCACAAATAACAAGTTAAAAGAGAAAATTAGGAACAAACAAACTAGAGGTTAATGACATTGAATGACTAGGCCGAAGATGGTTAGTCCTTCTTACTGGTCGGAAAGAGTCATCAGCTAACCCAATACGTGAGTTAGATGCACGAAAATTAGAAAATAGAGAGGATTTACCAGACATATGAACACTAGCTCCTGAATCAATTGTCCAAGATGATGAATGAGGTGAAGTAACTACACATGCAGAATTACCGTTATTAGCAAGGTCTCTGATAAGAATAGACAAATGTTGAGAAAGTGAAGATAACAATTGGATGAGCTGACAAAGCTAAGAAGAAAGAGCATCATGTGAATTAGTAGATGTAACTGGACCATTGGTGCAAGTCTGATGTTCCAAAGAACTCGAGATATTCTTATAAACCCGATTGGTATATATTGGTATTCCATACTTATCCCAACAATAATCCAAGGTATGTCTTGTGCCATCACAATAAGTACAAGTACATCTCGACTCAGAATAATGACCACTACCAAAATGACCACCACTATTCGAAGGCATCATGGAGAGACCCACAATTAATTATAAATTATCAAACCAATAAAAGAACAAAGACTCCAGTAATCTACCAAAGGTCAGCCCCACAGATAATGTGAACAATAGCACAAGTAAGACACCGCAACCAGGCTAAATCGAATCCCTTTGTTGAAAATCAAGTCAAAAATCACTTGGATTATCCTAACAATCAACAGATCAAGAAAATAGGCCTCGCACATTAAGGAACCGATGCAAAACTGTCAAAAAATAAGTGAATCGAGACTAAAATACAGATCTTGATTCGAACCAATGTTCCAAACTAGTAAACACCCAAGCAATTGCAAAGTAACAAGTGGTAACAAAGGACCAAACCCAAGACAACAATGGATCCACTTGGATCCACACACAAACAAAACCAATAGGCAACCCAATACCAAAAAAGACAAATGCAAATCAGCAACCCAAAACAAACCCACACACAAACAACACTCGGAAGACCATCCGAAAGCCAAAAAATACCACAGACGATTTTTGGAGCAAATTCATAAGCATAGAGAGACGACCCAAGGCTGTTGGAGAAAATTCACAAGCACCCACAAGCACCTAGACAAGGACAGAGGTCCGAAAACATCACACACATAGCCAACTGAACTGGTCGCTATTGTTCAAACCCAGGACAGTGAGATCTGCACCTCAGGTTCATGAAAAATATGTTCAAATTGCTTCCAGACGACTGGGCAATTCACAAAGTTCCTCCAAGGCCAAATTAGAACCCTAGGTTGCAGATCCAAGCAACCAAACTAAAGAAGATGTGCAAAAATTTGCAGATCTAAATTTTTTTTTTGTTTTTGCCGAAAATATTCAAAAATAGAAAAAATTATATAGATGTCTTCAAAAAATTTGGCAAAAATACCGGAGGACCCCCTTGAAGAGTCGACTCAGTCAGCAATTTTCCGATGGCTAATAGTTGCTGATGACATCAAAAAATCCACCGGTTTCTTCCAAGTGTTTTATGATGTTTTATCTTAGATTATTGCTTTGATACCAAGTTGAAACACTAAGAACTATATTAGGGTTAGAGTTAGGAGGGGAAGAGAAAGTAAAGAGAGTGATTGAGGAAAATAATGTGTACACTGAAGTTGCTCTACACCTTATTTATAGTATATGAGTAAATTATAATATTATCCAATACAACTAACAATAAATAAGAATAACAATAATATAATTAAAATACTTTAATACATTTAATAAAATCTAAAAATATTATCATAATAATCTTTTAATTCATTATTTTCTAATTCTAAAAATTTACATCATGATATCATTGCATGAAAAGTATAATATAAGATATATTAATACACATACAATATTAACATCCATAATTCAATAATCAATGACTTCTACAACTTTTACTTTAAAAATATTTCATTTCGTAATACTAATTTTCATCAAATTCCAAGAGCTTCAATTTTGTAATCCCATTTTTTCTCACTGTACTTTCATATTAAAAGACTATTCCATTTGTATATAAGTTCGTATTCATATCCAAAATTATATTATATTCATGTCCTATGTTCAATGTAATTATTATAACTTCTTTTATATTATGATTGTGACTCATATCCCTGTAAAATTATAAAAATAACTCCTAATTATAAAATTATCTGAAAAGTTCTCAAAAAAATTGAAAATAAATCTCAAAACGTGTCTCCCAGCATGTCCCAACGTATCCTGAACGTGTCGGCCATGTGTCCTAAAAAAAATTTAATAATAAAAAAATTGGACACTCATTTTAATGTGTCCGAAGAGTGTCCGTGTCCCAGACGTGTCTTACACCGACACTCTGCCCAAAATGAAGTGTCCGTACTTCCTAGAACAATAATATAGTTGTCCTGATACTTCTTTGTGGAAGGAGATTTAGAGATCTCACAACAATTTTGTGGATTCCTACAAGTTGAGTCTTCACTACCTCATCTCTAAGGCTTGCAAACCAACAACAATTGAACAAAATAAACGTAGAAAAACACCCCCAAAATTCACTATCATAAATTTGGTGTCCTTAAACTACATGCAGAGCCTTCATTAAAAAAAAACCTTTCCAAGAAATTGGAATTCCTACTTGTATAAAAAGTTAAAAACCCAGAGAAATAACAGGCAACCAGTTTCATGCTTATTCTATAGATTACAAGCAACTTATTAGTCCATAAACGTGGATCTCTTTGACTCTGGTTTCTGTACAGAAACCTTAATACATGGATTCTATCATGATTTGATTATGCTTTTAATTAGGGATAGACACAATTCTCTTGCTATTTGGGTTAGCTGGGTTCTTTCCAAGGAAATCGGTCCAAAGACTTGCAGTACAATGATGGAATTGTGGAAGGAAGATACCAAGAGGAATTTAGATTTGATTCAGAAGAAGGGGCCTGGTCAAATATGCTTGGCCAACTCATTGTGACCAATATATATGGCCAACTCAGGAGACAGTTTTTTCACTGTACCCCCTCAAATCTTGAGTGCACAATTTTATCCAAAAGGCTAGAGTTGTGTTTGCATACGCAAGCTTGCATTCTGTAGACTTAGCATTTGTTGAATTCATCTCAACCATTGACAGTGATTATTTCAAATATGACCAAAACTTATCAGCTGGAAATTTGTTACCCTGATTTAAGATGGCAGAACAGAACAGATTTTGATCTATTCAAATTATTTCCTGTATGAGTTTTACTCTCACTTGTTTAGACTTAGCCTTTGTTTAAGTCATCTCAACTATCAACATTGACTATAATGAAAGATGAAAAAAACCTTTCAGCTGAATCTTTGTTACCCTGATTTAAGATGGCAGAACAAATTTTGATCTATTCAAATTATTTCCTGTATGTGTTTTACTCTCACTTGTGGATATTCTTTTGGGTTAATGCAATTTGGAATGATGAATCTGTTTAGGTTTCTGAATGCAATAGAAGCTAGGGGAGGAGCTCACTTTCTTGCAAAGAATGTGGAGTTAATGAATGTGAACCCTTGGAATGATCCCATTGGTGCTCTAATTCTTGGCATTCGTCAGCTTAGTCTCTCTGGTTGGAAGCCAGAAGAATGTACCGCTATTGGAAACGAACTTCTAACATGGAAAGAGAAAGGCTTTTTAGAAAGAGAAGGTATTTTCTTGTCTACAGGGTTTGATTTGCTCAATGTAAGAGCACTTCCTAACATCCTTACCTATTCTAAAGGCAGTGAAGATGGTCAGACAATTTGGGCATTAAGGCTTAAAGCTACTCTTGATAGATCTAGGAGGCTGACAGAAGAATACTCTGAGGCATTTCTTCAGATGTTCCCTCAGAAAGTCCAGGTGTAACTTTTGTTTTCTTGTTGGGATCAGATTTCTCCATATTTCAACTGAAGCTTCTATATCATATTGAATTTTCTTGTGTACTGACTTTGGCTCCAGAGTAAGATGCTTTTATTATACCTCATGCTAGAGCCAATGCTGTCCATATCATCCTTCAAGTTTATCCTAAACTTTCAATCAGTTCCTTATATTCCAATTGCAATAATGTTGCCTTCAAGTTTTACCTGTGATCCAATGTAGTTCCTCTGTCATCTTCTGTTAAAAACTTGGATGGGAATTTCTCGTGTGACCTGCATGTGACTTGTATTAAGAGCCATGTGTTTCCTGTTTGCCTACATGAGCTATCACTAACCACGAGGATTGCCAAATTGGCAAATCTGTACATACGCAAAGGTCCATAATCATGACATTAACAAACCTCCCTCTCTGTCATACGCCCAACTCTCTCTCCATCCTAACTAAAACCGATTATGATCCTTTTTAGAATTAGATCTCCTCAATTCTCTCCATTTTAGATCATCCTTTGTGTGTTGATCTAGAATTGAGGGAAGCTAGTATTGGAGAGAATCCAAGTCGAATTAGACACCCACCATCTTTTCTGTCTAAGCTGCCATGCCATTACAATCAACACTCAATAAATACCAATTGAATCAAGTCACCACCACCACTGCACAATCTCTGCTGCACAATATGAGTACTGCAAACACACACCAATAAGTTTATGATGAAGAATTAAGATAAAATAAAAACAGTTGGAAAAAAAATCACGGGTGATGGATTTTACTGACAACGTCAAGTGGTGGCCACTAACAACTTGTCATAAGTGAATGCAATCATCTTATTACCCATAAAATCCATTGTCAACCAGCAAAAAACTTATAATGTTCCGAAAGCATCCTCATTCTAACACGCACGCACACTATGTCTACAATTTCTTCTAACAGCCCATTTATTCAACAAATTCGTGTGATCCCAACACTCAATAATGGTTTTATAGGGATGAGAATAATTGTGTGATATGGTGGTGTTCATGTCACTGTATTGATGTGCATGCTTTGGATGCTGGCATTGATGGCTGGAATTATGGTGGTGATAGTTATGTTTTGGGCCATAGAGATAGTAGTTGTTTTGAGTTTTCAGGTAGAGAGAGAGAGAGAGGGTTAGGAGGGAATGATTGTGGACTTTGGAAAAGTGGTGGTGGTTTGCTTGGCAAGAAGGAATACTGGATTTGTGAAATATGGTAGTGAGGATAGACTTTGGTGGTTGTGGGTGGCTGTGGTGGTAAGAGGTACAGAGGTGGTTTGAAATGGAGATGATTGTTGACTTTTTTAGAGAGAGAGAGATAAAAGGGGAGAGAGGGGTGGGGGTTTGGACTGTGATGGTGGTCGACTGGGTGGAGGAGAGAGTAAAAATGATTTTCTAGACGGGCACTGAGCTAACTTCATGAGTTGAAGAGTTGTACATTTGTATATGTTACATAAAAGAAAGGACAAAACGCCCTTAATTTAAGTCGCAGGCAGGTCATGTAACTGATTTGTGGCTTAATAATTAACTATAGGTGATATAATGACATCATTGTAATTTGGGTGAAACTTGGATAATGTTGTTGTACCTGGAACATTAAGGATGAATTATAAATTCAGGGTAAAGTTGGAGGCTGTAAAATGTAATGTGCCCTTTCTACAAATATTACTTCCAGAGAATCCTATTTTAGTTTGCAATCTCTATGTGCCATATTTGAATAGTGTCAAAACTCTATTAGTAATAGTTAGTGTCCCTGTCATACTTCTTCAGGTCATTTTAGTCCCTCTAGACTAGAAATTTGTTGTGTCTTAGTGAGTCTTTTCTCTCCAGGATGAATTGCACTCTGTTCTAGACTATTGCACATATTAATTGGAGTTTTAATTAAGAGTTATTTCTGGCTTTTGCAGATGCTGGGAAAAGCTCTAGGAATACCTGAAAACAGTGTGAGGACATACACTGAAGCTGAAATTCGGGCTAGGTATCATAGAACTAATTCTTTTCCCACAAGTCAATTTTTAATGCTGCCTTCATTTACCATTCAGTCAGATAATTCCTGTTGTCACCATCTAACTTTCTACTGTTTGTCATCTCCAGTGTTATTTTTCAGGTCTCAAAACTTTGTACCCTTCTTCTAAAAGCTGTTAGGACTACACTTGGGTCTCAAGGGTGGGATGTTCTTGTTCCAGGTGCAGCTTTTGGAACCATAATACAGGTATTTGCTCTTACCAAGGTGCACAGAAATATTTTCTGTTTAGTGGTTATTTGAACTTTTCAATATTTGGATTTGAGCTTGCATTTGTTAACTGGATGCTGTCTATTATGTTTTAAAGTAGAAAACCGAAAAATGAAAACAAGTGACCTGATGCAATAAAATTGGGTAAAATGGTGCAATTACAGAAAAATTGGTGCCAAAAAAACTTAAACAAAATCAAATGGATAATTTTGTAGAACTCGAATTTTGAAATTAGCCTTGTCACATAACTCTTTTGTTATATCTTTTTATTTCAAAGTATATTCTCCGTGAAAATTATTATTGTCCATCTAGATTTTCAGATTTGTATTGGTTCCCACTATTTTTTTCCCCGGTAAGCGAGCCCCACTATTGTCAAAAAGAAAATGAACAATAAATCTCTCTCTCTCTCTCTCTTTATCTCTCTCTCTCTCCTCCCTGTGTGCATGCGCTTGTTGCCTTATGTGTAGAACCCAATGCGACAATGTAGATGTCAACTGTTTCAATTAATGGCCAAATTGGCATACACAGAACCAAGTAGTGTTTGTTAGAGTTCTTACATTTTTAGTAATAAAGGGTAATATTGTAATTCTCATAATATCATGTTTAGTATAAATAAGAGAGTGTAGGGTAACGTACCTACACACATTATTTCTCTCAATCTCTATTTTCTCTTTCTCTTTGTTACTCTTTCTTGTTTACTCCTAATCTCAAGTTTACAATTTAACTTGGTATCAGACCATTGATTTGTGAGCCAATATCATGGTGCTAACATCATCGTCATAAGATCTGATGTCATGCCGACGTCACCATGATGTTAGCAGATTTCGACGACAGGATCCCACACCCAGGCTTGAATTTTTGTGTTGAGAATGTGATGATTTTTGTTTAATTTTTTGAATCCATATTGGTTGGTTTTTCTATTTTTGAATGTTTTTCTCGAAAATGTGTAGATTCCTCGATCTGTTGATTCCTTCCATTTTGAGGTGTTTCAATACTTTGATCCTCACTTAAGGCGTGCATTCCTGTGACCCTGTAGGTGATGGGTCTGTGTTTGCTATTTTAGGTTGGTTTCTTGTGTCCTACACTACTTTGGCTCTTGTGATGACTGTTGGTTGGATTTGAGGCATTGTGTAAGTATTAGCCCGTGTGTGCTGCCTAGTGTTGGAGTAGTTAACATATTTAGTCTTAAGGGTAGCTTAGTCCTTTTGTTCTTTTATGTTGCTCTACTATATAAGGGTCTCTTGTATGTATTTTTCTATTAAGCTGTACGCAATCATTCTTTATTTTTTCTCTTTTATCTCTTCTCCTAATTTGATGATATTTAACATGGTATCAGAGTATATTTCGATCCAAACATGATTAGCAACACAGTAACTTCATCGCAAGAAAAACCATCTTCGTCTCTGTTTTGGTGTTTGGCCGTCGGTGGATTGATCTCCATCTCCATTGCGAATTGTATTCAATCTTTTTGGGTTTAGTGGGTTTTGTTTGTGTTGTTGGGTTTGGGAAGAGAGGAGCAAAATCATCGTTAGTCCATTTTCTGATGTTTGTATGCGACATCCATTATCAAAGAAATATAATTGTCTCGTCCCTGGTTTATCACGTTGCTGGATACTTGAGTTTGCTTTTGTTCGTTGGGTTGCTTCTGCTCGTTGCTTCTATTGTTCGTTGTTTGTTGCTCCTGTTCGCAAGACAAATCTCCAAGTCTCTTCTTTGCTGCTTCAGTTTGCCCTTCTGGTTGCTACAGGTTTGTCGTTGTTCGCTGCTATTGTTCTGCTTTGGGTCTGCTCGTTGCTCGTGTTCGTAAGACAGGTTGCTGGTAGTTTGGGCTGAGCTAGAGTTTTGTTGTTCTTTCTTACTTTGGGCTCTTGGGTTGTGTGATATTTGTTGTTTGGGCTGTTGGACTGATTGATTAGGCTATTGTTCTCCAGTTTGGGCTTTGATTTTCCATTGGGCTGTAATTGTTGGGTCTGTTTGGCTAATATTCTAGTTGGGCCTTTGGTTGTTGGGTATGTTTGGCTTCTATTCTTGCTGGGGCTTTGAACTTCAGTTGGACTTGGTGGTTTGGAATTGGTTCAATTGATTTGATTGTTGTTATTTTTGACTAGTGATAATTATGGCGAGTGACAATTTTGGCTCTTATCTGTTGATTAGTTTAAAATTGATTAAGATTGTTGATCAATTGTAGAAGTTTCTTCAATAGCCTAATACTCTTTCCATCTCCCCTTCTATATATTCGTTCACTTCGGATCCTTCAGGTATATCTCGAACCGCCTGGGTGTTTGACTCAGGTGCTACCTATTATATGACTAGTGATTCTTCTTTATTTGCATCTATCTTTTCTCCTCTATCTGTTTCTGTGCTTGCAGCTAATGGTACACAAATGTCTTTGGCTGGTGTTAGATCTATAATTTCTCCGCATCTAACACTTTATAATCTTTATTATATTTCACAGCTTACTTTGAATTTAATTTAAGTTAGTCAGCTATTTGACTTTAGATTTTCAATTCATTTTTCCTCTTCTGAATGTATTGTATAGGAACTACATTCCAAGAAACTGATTGGGACAGACAGTAGGAAGGGAGGATTGTATGTATTAGACGAGTTACATATTCCTGATATTGTTGCTTCTACTATTGATTTATTTTCCTGTCATTTAAGTCCATATTCTTCTAGTTTCGATTTGTGGCATTCTCGTCTTGGTCATGTGTCCCACTCTCGTTTGAAATTTTTAGCCTCTATTGGTAATTTGGGTAATTTAGAGTATCATGATAGTTTACTTGCACCTATTGATCTAGTTCATTCTGATGTTTGGGGATTGGCTCTTGTTCCCATAAAAGGAGGATCTAAATATTATGCCTTTTTCATTGATGATTATACTAGGTTTTGTTGGATTGTTCTTTTTTTTTGTATTCACTATTTTTCGTGCTATGATACGTACTTAGTATTCATCTGTTATTAAATATTTTCGATGTGACCAAGGAGGAGAATATTCTTTCGATTCTTTTCATGATCTATTAAAATCTGATGGCACTATTTGACAATTTTCTTGTACTAACACACCTGAACAGAATGGTGTAGCAGAGCGCAAATATCGACATATTATGGAGACTGCACATTCTCTCTTATTGTCAGCAAATGTCCCAAGTTCTTTTTGGGTGGAAGCAGTTCTTACTACGGTCCATCTGATTAATTCCATTCCCACTGTCATCATCTCTGGAATTTCTCCATTTGAGAAACTATGTGGTAAGTCACCGGATTATTTCTCTTTGAGTGTATTTGGATGCACCTGTTTTGTTTTGCCTCCTAGTGTTCTTCGTACTAAGCTCTCTGCTCGTTCAACTTTATGTGTTTTCCTTGGTTATGGTGAGGGTTAAAAGGGGTATCGTTGCTATGATCCTGTTTCACACAAACTCTATGTCTCTCGTCATGTTATTTTCATGGAGCATATTCTCTTCTTTTCTATTCCATTCGGTTCTTCACATTTACATAAATCTAATCTCATTTATATTGACCCATTTTTGGCTGATGTTCCTTCTGAAACTTATGTTGGTGATATGACTATTTCTAATGTATCCATCACTCGTCCCCCCATTGTGCATACATATGTTCGCAGAAATCTAGCTATCTCCTCTACGGATATGGTGCCTCCCCTTTCTTCTCCAGCCACCCAATCAGGTTTAGACAATGTGGATCATACCCCGCGCTATCCTCAACGCTCTCGCAAATGTCCAAATAAGATTGGTTGGAGTAACACTTGTTATTCTCCAGACTTTTGTTTTTTCCTTACTTTTATTCATTCCTTATTTGAACCCACCTCTTACAAGGAGACTTTACTTGATCCACTTTGAAAACAGGCTATGGATGAGGAGTTGTTTGCCTTACATAAGACCAGAGTTTGCGAGCTAGTGCTTTTATCACATGGTAAACGCCTCATTAGTTGTAGGTGGATTTATAAGATAAAAACCAAGTCTGATGGTTCTGTAAAACGATATAAAGCTCGATTAGTAGCCAAGAGTTTTGCTCAGGAATATGGCCTAGACTATGATGAGACTTTTGCCTTTGTTACGAAGATGACCACTGTTCGCACCGTGATTGCAGTTGTTGGCATTCGCCAATTGAGTTTGTCTCAAATAGATGTGAAAATTTCCTTTCTTCATGGAGATTTAAGTGAAGAAGTTTCTATGACTCCTCCTGCTAGATTGTCTCATAGTCTTAGTTAAGTATGTTGACTTCACCGAGCTTTATATGACCTTAAACAGGCTCCCAGGGTATGGTTTGCCAAATTTTTTTCAGTTATCGGTGACTTGGATTTTTGCACCAGTGACCATGATTCTACTCTCTTTTTACAGTCTACTTCCTCAGATTCTATTATTCTCTTACTATATGTTGATGATATGATTATTATGGGTGATAATACTGCTAGTATATGTTTATTAAAAACTCAGTTGTAGGGCCATTTTGAGATGAAAGATTTGTGACAGTTTAGGTATTTCTTGGGCATTGAGATTGTTTCCTCTCCTAAGATTATCTTCTCTCTCAATCCAAGTATACTTCGGATGTTATTCAACAAGCCTGTTTATCAGATAATCAGAAGAGCTCAATGTTTGTTACTCTTCTTCTGATGATACTTCTTTGGCTGATCCTACATTTTATCGTGCTATTGTTGGGAGTTTAGTATATCTTACAGTAACTCGTCCGGACATATCCTATACTGTTCATGTTTTTAGTCAATTTGTTGCCTCACCTACCACTATTTACTAGACTGCTGTACTTCGTATTTGTCGGTATCTTTGAGGTACTCTGCATCAGAGTTTGTTATTCTTCTCCTCCTTTTCTATGGAACTCATGGCTTATTCTAATGTCGACTGGGCTGGGGACTCTATGGACCGTAAGTCAACTATTGGCTTTTGCCTTTTTCTCTGTGATTCTCTTATTTCTTAGAAAAGTAAGAAGCAAACGGTTGTTTCTGGTTCATCTGTTGAAGTTGAATATCATGCTATGACGTTTACCACAGCTGAGATAGTTTGGTTACGATGGCTCCTTGCTGATCTTGGCATCATGTTATCTGCGCCGATTCCTATGTATTGTGACAATACCAGACTATTCAGATTGCTCATAACTCAGTCTTTCATAAGCACACAAAGCATATTGAGATTGATTGCCACTTTGTGCATCATCATTTTCAGTTAGACATTTTCTCCCTCCTTTTTTCTTTCTTTCACTATGCAATTAGTAGATTTTTTTCACAAAATCGCCTACTATTACTCGCTTTCATTTTCTTCTTGGCAAACTTTTGATGTTTTCTTCTATCACATCATAAGTTTGAGGGAGGGTGTTAGAGTAGTTAGCATATTTAGACTTAAGGATAGCTTAACATTTTAGTCTTAAGGGTAGCTTAGCCTTTTTGTTCTTTTATGTTGCCCTAGTATATTAGGGTCTCTTGTATGCATTTTTCTATTAAGCTGTAATGTAATCATTCTCTATTTTTTCTCTTTTATTCCTTCTCCTAATTTGATGATATTTAACACCTTCGACCGGCTAAAACTCTTGTGGGTATTTTACTGGCTTTTGCTAAATTTGTTGATTTTCTAAGTTTGCTCATGTGATTCGAAGTGTTGGGTTGTTATGGTGTATTGTGTATTGTGTGGGTTGTTGTAGTGTATTGTGTATTGGGGAAGTTGGTTACTGGTTCAGAATATTGTGTATTGGGATGTTGCGGTGTATTGTGTGCTGAGTTTGTTGATTGTTGTTGTAGTATACTGCACATTAGACAGGCTTGCTTGACTTCTTTTTTTTTTTTTTTTTTTGGATTTTGTGTTTATTCGTGGTTGTTTGAGGCTTATTAGCTTCTTATTCCTTGTTCTTGGTTGTTGAGAATCTTGGTAGGCTTGCTTTGGCGCCTACCTTGCTACGTTCGGTGTTTATTTATTTGTTAATAAATGGCTATCAATTGAATACCTGAAGCTTCCAATTCAAATTTGGGTATTCTCTTGGTCCTTTCTACATTTATTTGTGATTGCTAACTCTTGGTGGGTTGTATAATCAATTGTGGATTTCTTAATGGCAACTTTGTACGGTAGTAATAGTGGTGTTCGTCGTGGTGGCCATGAGTCATTCCCCAATGTCAATCGTGCACAAGACATAGTGGAATGTGGTGACACCGAACATACGAAGAATTATTGTTGGGATAAGTATGGGAGGCCAATATATGCTAACGAGGCTTCCCTTCCCATGCCCCTTCAGGTTCTCTGTTATCCAATAGTCTTGTTGCATCTACTATTGATTCTTATAATAATCTTTGTTCTCAGCTTCGCTAGCTAATCCAACAATTATCTTTACTTTTTTCACACTCTTCTGCTTCTACTACATGTCTTGCTAGTGAAGGTAATTTTGTATGTGTGGTTGCTCAACCTTCTTCGTCACCTTGGATCATTGATTCTGGAACTAGTACTCATATGTGGTAAATCTTCCCATCTTTTTTAATTTTCGTTCATCTCGCTCACGTATTTTGTTAGCTGATGGCTCATTTCGACTGGTTCGTAGGACTGACGATCTTCGTCCTACTCATTCTACGTCATTAACCTCTGGTTTGTTTATTCCTAATTTTTTCTTTACCTTGTTATCAGTGAGTCAGCTAACTAAGTTGTTGTAGTGATCCGTAATCTTCTCTTTGTCCTTTTGTGTTTTTCAAGATTTTAAGACGAAGAAGGTGATTGAATTGAGACATGAGAGCAATGGTTTGTACTATTTAGATTTTGGTGGTTCTGTTCCAACTTCGAGTGCTACTGTGTCTCTCCTTTAAACTTTAATGACATTTTCGATTGGGTCATCTCTCATTGCAAAAATTGCGTCAAGTTATTCCTAGTTAGAGATTTTTCTCAGTATTAGAATATGATGCTTGTCAATTAAGGAAGTATCACCGTGGTTCCTTTCGTCCAAGTTCATCACACCGTCAATCCAGTTCGTTTAAATCTATTCATATAGGCATTTGGGCTCGTGCACGAGTCGAAAGTAATTTTGGGTTTCAATATTTCATGATATTTGTTGATGATTTCTCTCGTATGACTTGTTTCTTATGAAAGGTCGCTCTAAATTACACAAGGTCTTTATCATCTTTTATAATGAAATTCCAACTTAGTTTGATATTCGTATTAAAGTTCTTTAGTCTGACAATGTCCTTGAATGCATTCAATCATTTATGAAATCCTATTATCCATCAAATCACTTGTCCTCATACCTCCTAGCAAAATGGTGTTGTCGAATGTAAGCATTGTCATTCGTTAGATGTTACCCCCACCTTAGTGTTAATATGCACGTGCCAAAACCATATTGGGCTGATGCTTTTCTTACTAAAACTTATCTTATTAATTGCATGCATTCCTTCATTTTAGACAACAAATTTTTTTTCGTTGCTTTATCCTAATACACGGCAATTTGGTTTCACTCCTCGTATCTTTGGTTGTGTTGCATTTGTTTATCTTCTTGGTTTGGGTAGGGATAAACTTTCACCTCGCTTGGTTAAGTATGTCTTTTTGTTCTATTCTCATACTCAGAAATGTTATCGTTGTTATGAACTAGTTTCTCTTCGATACTATGTCATTGCTGATATTACCTTTTTTGAATCGTTTTCTTCTTTTTTGTATTTGGTGATATATTTTCTCCAGATTTAGACTTTCCCAATAAGGGGGAGCTTTTGTTGCCCATTGTACCGGATTGTATAACTTCTTCCTTCGTTTATCATCGCTCCAAGGACAGATAAGTTGTTCTATATGCTCTTGCTTTACAACCATCACTTGATTTTACTGAGACCCTGCCCCCTGAGCCTCATCATCTTATGATTTTCCTATTGCATTGAGGAAAGGTATCCATCACTGTACAAAGCATCTCATTTTTCATTTTGTTTCTTTGCATCAATTTTCACTATCCTTTTGTTGTTTTGCATTGACTTTTTCTTCGGCATTTGTTCCTAATTCTTTGAAACAAACATTGATATATTCTATTTGGAAACTAGCTGTGGATAAGAAAATGAAAGTCCTTAATGAGAATCAGACATGGAATCTTACTACTCTTCCTTCTGGTAAACCGCTTGTCAGTTGTCGTTGGGCTACATAGTGACATATTATCCTGATGGTTCAGTTGAGCGTTTGAAAGTCCGTTTGGTTGCTAAAGGTTACACCCAAACATATGGTGTGGATTATTGTGAGATTTTTTCTCAAGTTGTCCGTCAGTGAGTTGTGATTGATCTTTGTATCAACTGGACATCAAGAATACTTTTTTACGTGGAGATCTACAGAAGGAGTTATATGTGCTACCATCTCTAGGTTATGTTGTATCTAATAAGAAACAGTTAGTGTGTCGTCTGAAGAAAATACTCTATGGCCTGAAACAATCACCACGTGTTTGGTTTGATAAGTTTAGTACTGTTGTACTTCAGCATGGTTTTCAGTGTTCTACTTCAGACCAATCAGTTTTTATTCGCCACTCTTCCACAGGTGTTATTATTCTTATTGTGTATGTTGATGACATTATTATTAACAATGATGACTCAAATGATATTGCCTACTTCTAGGTCCATCTAGGAAAGCAGTTTCATACCAAAGATTTAGGTAGTTTTCGATACTTTATTGAGATCGAGGTTACTCAGTCAAAAGAAGGTATTAGTTTGTGCCAACGAAAATATGTATTGGATTTATTATCTGAGATTGAGACTCTTGGTGCACTTCCAGCTGATACTCCTATGGACTCTACAGTTAAGTTAGATGCTGAGAGTGGTAAAGTTTTCGATGATATAGGGCGCTATTAGAGGTTAGTTGATAAATTGATTTATTTTACAGTTACACTCCTTGATATTACCTATGATTTTGGGGTGGTTAGTTAGTTTATACACACTCCTTGTAAGTCTCATTAGGAGGCTGTCTATCATATTTTTGGTATCTGAAAGGAACATCAGGTAAAGGATTATTATATTGTCCTTCATCCTTTATGATTGTTGTTGGTGTCTTTGATGCAGACTAAGTAGGTAATCGTACCGATAGACGATCTACCTCAAGTTATTATACATTTATTGGTGATAATCTTGTTACTTGGCGTAGCAAAAAATAGAATGTGGTTGCCTGTTTGAGTGTAGAGGCTAAATGTCGGGCTATGGTACATACTGCGTGTGAGATATTGTGGGTTTGTTCTCTCCTTTACGATATGGGTATCGATGTGCCCTGTCCTATGGAGATGCATTGTGACAACCAAACAACTATTTTTATTGTTAGTAATCTAGTATTTCATAAGAGGACAAAACACAGTGAAGTGGACTGTCATTTTATTCGAGATCTTTTAATTCGTAAGGAGATTGTAACTCCATACATCAAATTTAGTGAGTAGCTGGGTGATATCCTTACCAAACCATTGACTCGATCTATCTTTGATAATCTTTGCTCCAAATTGGACATCTTTGATCTTTATGCTCCAGCTTGAGGGGGAGCGTTAAAGTTATTACATTTTTAGTAATGAAGGGTAGGATTGTAATTCTCATAATATCAAGTTTAGTATAAATAGGAGTGTAGGGCAATGTAGCCTACATACATTATTTCTCCCAATCTGTCTTTTCTATTTCTCTTTGTTACTCTCTCTTGTTAACCCCAATTACAAGTTTACAATTTAACTGTGTTGATGTGATGGTATATGTTCGTTCATTGCCAACAAAGATGAAAGTACTAGTAATAATTGACTTAATACTTATTTTTCAGTTATATTGATTACCATACCATCTTCAGAAATCATTTCCCATCACATCTGTACCTTTCTGCATACCTGGAAAAACAATGGGGTGGAGAGAAAAGAGAAATGAGAGAACATGGAATAGATGACGTCTGCTATGAGAGAGAAACTGAATCTCTTAGGCTAGTCTTATATAATAGTTAAGGTGTCCAGACTACCCGCCATACCCCGCACACTCCCTTTAGCAGAACCTGGTCACCTAAGTTTTGATCTGCCTGTCATCTATTTATTCTGGTAAATTGAACTGATGTATTCTTCATGGGACTGTCATTGCTCGTCGTTGCCAGCAGATTGCAATTTCAGCTGATTATATATTTTTTTTGATTTATTTTTGGAGGTAGTTTGATTATTGTTTGTGAATGCTTCGATAATTATGTTAATCTTTCCTTCTTTTGCTGCTCATCTATCTTGACATCTTGTTTCTAGCCTGATCTTGTGAACAATATCTGGCTTGAGCTAAATATTGTCTCTGAAAGAGCATAGGTGGCCTTATATCCACATCGACATAATAGTCTTTGTCCTTGTCTCTGCATGCCCACCCAAACCCCTTTTCTTTACCTTCCTTCTTAAAACAATTTCCTTGGTTCTTATTTTCTTTCCTGTTCTGTCAACTGCAACATACATGAGACATCTTCTTATGTAAAATCATCACCATTTAGTTTTGAGATACTTGACATAATGTACGATATCATAGTGTCTTAGAAATTTGAAACTGCTGTTGGACCTATAACTTTGTTGCAATGCTGTCAATTACACGTGTTAGTTGCCTTTCCTATTCGAAGTTCACCTCATACTGGGCTTCCTTCGCTCTGATTTGATTGCATTGCAGGTGGACAGCATTGTCCCTGGGACACTACCTTCATCTGTAACAGGACCTGTTATTCTTGTGGTCAGCAAAGCCGATGGAGACGAAGAGGTTCTGTATAATTATTCTCTCTCTAGAAGTTTTATATTGAATATTGTTACACTATGAATATCTTGTTAATTGTTGGACCTTGAATACATAGCAGCAATGGAGAATGATTCTCTCATTTGATGCCTTGGCAGGTTACAGCTGCTGGGAATAATATAGTTGGAATTGTACTTCTGCAGGAGCTGCCTCATTTATCTCATCTGGGTGTTAGGGCCCGGCAAGCAAGTCTTATTCTCTCAATGTCATTTTCGATCTATTATGGAACTGGAATGTATTAAATGTACTCGTAATATGCAGGAGAAGGTTGTATTTCTGACTTGTGAAGATGATGATAAAGTTTCTGACATGAAGAAACTCACTGGAAAATCTGTGAGGTTATCATTTTGGACATGTTTCCATCCAGAATCAGTTATTCTTATTCATTTAGTTACGGAGTTCAGTTACTAGTGATGGGTAATTGTGAATCATGCAGTCCAATACCTCACTATTCTCTTTCGGCTTTGTCCGTGTGTTTTCCATCTTGGATTTTTCAGATTAGAAGCATCCTCAGCAGGCGTTAATATAATTCCATCTTCGTCGGACAATACCAATGATGATTTTCCAGGGACGAATATTTCAAGTAGGGGTCCTGCTACAGTTGGAACCCTATCAGAAAATAGTTCTTCCTCATCCAATGTGATAACTTTCTCGTCAAATCAAGTAACAATTGTTTATTTGTTGGTTTTAATGTCCTCAATGCTATCTTGTCTGGCTGTCAGCCAATTTCTGATTTACCTTGATTTTAATTGTTAAATTGTTAAGAAAAAATGTTTTCATTCAGGGTCTATCTACTGGGGGTGTCATACTGCTTGCTGACTCAAGTGGACAAACTTCTGGTGCAAAGGCGGCTGCTTGTGGTCGCTTGGCTTCTCTGGCAGCAGTTGCTAACAAAGGTAATACATCTTTTGCCCCAAACCATATGTTTTGTTATGCATAAATTTGGTAAAAGGTTTTACCATGTGTTAGTTTGATATCTGTTATGTTATATTAAGATGTATTTCTAGCTTAAGGATATTTTTGTTATTTGATGATTTTATATAAATTGGGATGTAGTTGTGCAATCATAACACGCTACTATATTCTCTTTTTTTCCTGGTCTTCTCTTCTCTTCCCTAACCATAATTACTTCACAATTTAACTTTGTATTAGAGCAATGATCCTAATTTGAATCCTCAAAGTTGTCAGAAATCATCAGAAATTATTGGATCTGAATAGAGTGACTTATGCAATTTTTGTTAAAGTGTTGACGCCAGCATGAATAGTACTAATTTTTTTCTTGGGTTGATCAATTGGATGCACTAAATTTTATGGTGATTTTCTTAGAATTTTTTGAAATCATCTGTAGGAGCTTTAGAATTTTTGAAGATTTTTTTGGCCCTTTTTAAGTTTAAAACCAGATTTGTGATTTCTGGGTGATTGTGATTGGTTTTCTTTTCTGCTTCGATCTCACTTTGTAAGGTGTGACTAGGGTTGATCTACATCACCCATGCAATTTTGTTAAGTTCGTTGGGTTTTGAGATAATATTTGGTTTTTTTTGGGTCTCAGCCAAAGTGATTGGGGGTTCTTCGACCTCAGATCTAGCTTCTCTGAGTATTTTGAGGCTTGTTTCTGGTTTAGATCTTCCTGATCTTTGTTGCACTTTGGAATGGATTTGTGAAGATTTGTGAATTTTTTTGGCTTATGATCTCTGCTGATAGCCATTTTTGGCTAATGTTGGCCCTTGTTTGCTCCGACAAGCATTATTCTGGTTACGAACTAATTGTTTGGTTGTGCTTTCTCGCGATTGTTTGATTTTTTTGTTGATTCCATTGTGTGGACATGTCGAAAGAGAGTGCAACCTTCTACTACTCTTGGAGGAAGTATGAGAGGTACTCGGTTGAGTTGTTTTGGTGCTTCTCAAATAATCCATCTCATCAAATAATTAGTCAAGAGAAATTGGATGGATACAATTATTTGACGTGATCACGAGCTTGTTTGTTATCACTCCAGATTATCTCTTTGGATGGATATTTGATTGGGGGGACTAAGAAACCCACGAAGACTGGTTCCCCATTGAAGTAGTGAACATGTGAAAATGCTTTAGTGATGTCATGGTTACTTAATTCAATGTAACCCTCAATTAGTCGTGGTTTTTGTTGCTTGATTCATGTCATAAGATTTAGATAGCTGTGAAATATAAATATTCTTAGAAGGGTAATGATGTTAAGACGTCTGATCTTTAGAAGTAAGTTCGGGAGACTAACCAGAAGGATAAGACTCTTACAGTATATTATGCAGTGTTGACTACCATGTGGCAAGAGCTTGACCACTATCAGAGTTTTTAGGCCAATTGTGCTAATGATGCTACAAAAATTCAGAAGAGAAACTTGATCTTAAAGCTTTCTGATGTGTTTTTGTTGGTTATTCTCTCACCCAAAAATGGCATAATTATTATTGATGATGCACAAAACAGACTTATGCAAGATTAACAGTCGAGTATGTGATAAAGTGTAATTAATGGACAATTAATAGAGCAATCAATGACAATAATATAAATATCGGGTCAACACACTGATATATAGTGGTTCAGTCCACCTATTCCACTCCAGAAAATGTCAACGATGGCCGAGGGACTGTTTTAGATAAAGTAAGGTGAATAAGAGAGAGAGAGCAATGGTTAACTTTAGGAGGGATACAATAGCTAGGAGAGAGAAAAGCTATGTGTAGGGTGTATAGAGAGATGTAGAGATAGATCAAGAGGTGTCCTCTCATGTAGAGAGAGTTTATAATTTATATGCACAAAACTTTTGTTAAGGCGGTGACGTGAGGGGTAAATGTACTAATTTTTCAGGCAGCTACAATAGGTAAGTGGCATAAGTGGTTGTCTTGATTTTTGAAAGTGAGTATCCCGATAATTGTTTCCTACGTGCTCTAATTATTCTTGGATTCCTTAGACCTTGGGCTGGGTCAAATTTACGAACTGAGTTTGATCTATTTTTTAGTTGATTTGGGCTTACTTGATTTATTGGGGCCTGATCTAGTTGAATTTGGGCTCGTCATTTGTCCCCCATGCCCCAAACCTTTGAGGTGGTAAAATGTTGAGAGCATAAGAGTCTTTGAATAGATGAGGGTTTTTTGTTCTGCACGGTGGTAGCTTCATTATCTAAAAAAGGTTCCTTGTCCTGTGCGGTGGTAGCTTCTTCAATCTCTTGCTCCGTTCGCACCTTGAGAGCTCGTTCTCTTGACTTGATAATCACTATGTGAATGGTTTCTATGTAGTTTTACCCACATTATCTACGGAGTAGGAGATTAAGCTCCAGATACTTCATGACAATCATTTCAAAGAATTCTTGGAGATTATATCCGCCTCAGGTCATCCCAAGGTTTCTCATTGGCCAAAGAGGAAAGGTATTTGATCCTTCCCATAGATTCTTGATGGTTTTAGCATTGTAAGATTTTTGCCTCACACCAAGTTTGTAGATATTTCTATTGATAGGGTGATGGTAGAGGCTCTCTATACTTCTAGGGTGGTTTCTTCCCCTCTTTCTGAGATGGCGAAGTCTGAAGCCCTCAGTGCTTCTCAACTGGGGCCTGTTGGTGTTGGACCCATGATTATGTTGGCAGACGTGAATTTGGCGAGGGCGTCTGCCATGACGTTCTCCTCTTGGAGCACATGGTGAATTTGGAAGTAAGTAAATCTTTTTAACAATACTTGAACTACTGATGGGTACTCTTGCATCGTTTCCTCTTTTGCTTCAAAATCTCCCTTTACCTGGTCAACTGTGAGTCACTATAGGCTGTCAGACAGTGGACCTCCATCTCCAATGCGAGCTTCAAGCCTGATATAGGGGCCTTATATTCAGCTTGATTGTTAGATATTGCAAAGCGGAGGGAGACGGTGTACTTGAGTGGAGTGCCATGAGGGCTGATCAACACTAGTCCTGGTAACGAGGGTGCAGAGGGCTCGCGTGGAGTAGGCACAAAGGAGTCGGACACCTCTAGTCTCGGAGTGTGGTCTCTCGAGGTCCATGGAGTTGTCTCCAAGACTTCGGGCTTTGTCGGGATAAGGTCTAGTCTTGCCTCATAGTGGGTAGAGGCATTATGCACTGAGTAGGTGAGCGCTGGGGCGCATGACACTTTCTCCCAATATTTTTGTGGCGGTGTAGACTCTTGGGACTCCCGTGGCAGTGCAGGCTCTTGAGACTCCCGTGGTGGTGTAAGCTCTTGGGACTCCTGTGGCGATGTAGGCTCTTAGGACTCTCGTGGCGGGATTCCTATGGTGGTGTAAACTCCCAGGACTCCCCTAGCGGTGTAAACTCCCAGGACTCCCGCGTGTATCTGAGCTAGCCCTTGTACCGCTGTGAGAGTTGGGACTCCAGTGCAGTTTTCTACAGGGATTATTAGCTCCACATAGCTGTCATACTTCTAGTAGTGGCTTGGTATCCATGTTTCAACATGAATTTGGGCAAGGAGCAACTTCGGAAGTCTGTGACTCTTGGGGATATCAGAGAGGTTGGATCTCAAGGTCCAGAGGGCATTATCAATATTGTGATAGAGGGGTTTTTCACGGTCAAAGATCAAAATATTGTTTTGAAACGGTCGAAATATTCGAAACGTTTTCGTTTTTAAGGAGACCGAAACGAATCAGTGATGGAATCGAAATTTTAATACTACGAGGTGTTCCATAATATTTTAAAATATTTTATTATATTTCAATGCATTTGCACAATTGCAGAATATTTCAAGATATTTTGACCAATGTTTTGAAAAAATAATTTTTAAATTTTAATTTTTTTTCATTCTGTTTTTGAAACGGGTTGAAATGTTTCTGAAACATATCAAAACATTTTTGTTTTCTATGTAACTAAAACAATGCACCAAAACGAAATTTTGATCCTTGTCTACGCTATGTTTTTCTTCTCAACTTTGATTTTTCAAGAATGATCAAGCTTGGAGAGGTATTTAGAGTTCTAGCAAGAGAGAGGCAGACACAAGAGGTTGCTGAGCAGTTGAGGCTGGCTCATGAGAGAAGGCTATCGTGGCAGAGGCTTATAATGAGACTATCTGCGCGAGAGCAGAGTCATAGCTGCAGACGTCCCGTGAGAGGGCCATAGGAACTGAGGCCGAGCTACGTATAGCTCGAGAGATGGCTATCGTGGCAGAGGCTTATAAGGAGACTACTTGTGCGAGAGTAGAGTCATAGTTGCGGACATCCCGTGAGAAGGCCGCAAGAGCTGAGGCCGAGCTACATATAGCTCGGGAGATGGCTACCATGGCAGAGGCTTATAAGGAGACTACTTACGTGAGAACAGAGTCATAGTTGCAGACATCCCGTGAGAGGGCCGCAGGAGTTAAGGCCGAGCTACGTATAGCTCGGGAGAGGGCTGCCGTGACAGGGGCTAATTCCATTGAGATGGAAATGAGGAGGGAGGCTACTAAAAGGGCCATTATAGGCGCCTTTTTTAATGGTTATGAAGAGCTTGACAGCTTTTCTTGCTATTGATTTTTTTGGCTTCGTCCCATATGAGACACCAAGGGTAAATGGTGACCTTGATGATAGTGGCTCGGGGAGCAGTGATTGATTGTCGGGAGTATGACGACTTTTATCTTTTTGTCTACCTTCTTGTTAGGTCATATTTTGACTTTTGTAATCTGTTTTCAAACTTTATGAAAACAAGACAGCTCTGATAATAATCTTTGTAGAGTTTTATTTCATAATGAGCAATGTTACATGGACTTAAAAACTAGAGTTGATAATTATAACCATTGATTTCACTGTGGGTCCTAATATTTATTGGGACTTACTACCTATTTAATGGTTGAGATTAGCAAGTCTACTTTTTAAGTCTATCTAGCATTATTCTTTCATAAATAACCGAAAAGATCAACTAAAACAATAAATGACAAATAAAATGAGAGCCACAGGCTTATACTCGCTATTGATAATAGTTCTTTAGTTGGAGTCACCTCTTCCTCCAAACCTTTCGGAAATCATTTAGATTTCTCTGAGGGGTTGCTAGCGCTCTCTGTCATTCTGGTTCCTGTTAGGTGGCGGGTTTTTTCCTCTGCCAGCAACGTATTGTTGCAAATGGTCACGCGGTATGAGCTCCTCGATTTGTCTTTTAAGATCAAAGCAATCATCAGTATCATGGTCGTGGTCGTGGTCGTGGTCGCGGTGGAAGCGACAGTACTTGTTCGGGTTCCTACGGTTCAGAGCAGTCTTCATCTTCTTTGGCCAGCGTACTGTAGGATCAACTTGTATTTGGAACAGGATATGTTCCACGGAAGCATTGAGTGGCGTAAAGGCTTGTCATTCTCTTAGAGGCGGGGGACCAAGGCAATCCTTGACAGAGACTCTCTCTATCCTATTCCTTTTGTTTTCTGTTTCCCGCTTGTCCTCATAGGTGTTCTTCCTTTTCTCGCCCCAGTGGGAGGACTCACGTCATTTGGCCTTGGTGACATTCTCGGCGTTCTTGTACTTTTGTGCCCTTGACAGCAGCTTAGGCATGCTAGATGGTGGCTTTTTTAAGATAGAGAACATGGAATTGGAGGAACGCAAACCCGCAATAAAGGCGGCCATGGTCACTTGTCATTTGTCTTCTTAATCTGGAGAGCCTCTTCATTAAAATGAGTGAGGTAGCTCCTCAGGTTTTCATCCTGATTCTGCTTGATGGTGAGTAGGTGGATA